GTATATGTGTATATGTATATAATTAATTAATCTTTTAACATATTAAACACACATATACATATATACAGCCACACGTATGCGTATATACATATAAAATAGCACATATAAACAAAATTATTTTATTGTATTTTTATCAGATTTTTGTTGAATCTTATAAATTATAGGACCAACTTAGATACGGAACAACTTAGATATTAATTCTAACTGTAAGAATCAGTAAAAATTAATTCTATTTTTTATTCATTAAAGCTTTAAACCAGAATGTGCAGCGATTAGTTTTCTTTCTAGCTGCAGAAATACTTTATTTAATTGTTCTAATTTAATTTTTAAATAAAAAATTACAATTTTTTAAACAAACAACTATGTTAAACATGAATTTTTAGACATATATTAGGATAATCGTATAACAGACATATTTTCTTTTCTTTTACACTCTTTTTCTTTCTTTTTTTATAATATTTTATATTTTATTTTACAAAAAATTTTCATTTTTAATTATAAATTTTCATAAATTTTGCATATTTTTCTCTAATTATTCTTTTGCTCAGAATTTTACTGTTGATATTTTATAATATTAAATACATTCTCATTTTGACTGTTTCAGAACTGAGAAATACGATAGAAACACAAGTGAACGAGATCAAATCGCAAATTGAAAGTAAGTGCAGCCTCCAATGAGCCTATTGCATCGCGCGGTTCACGAGAAAGATGACAACGATATTATACGTCGTCGCCGGACTCGTGTCCGCCCTGCTGCCCACAGGAATAAAGGAGGAAAGAGTAGCGGAAGAGATAACGAAGCAACGAGAAAAAGGAAAACTGATACGTAGAGTCACCAACATTGGAACGCCATCGTCGTGTCGATCAATCGGAGATCAATTCCAGCAGTCGATTGGTCGGTCGTTGCTTAAAGCAAAGTGAACGACGAGAATGAGCCAGAAGATATATTCCAAGGATTTTTAAAGGATTCCTGAAGGATTTTTCATTGTACCGTCACACAACTTTAGATGCAACTTCAAAAATTGAAAAGATCCTGTCGAGGATTTATCCTGCATAAGATTTTTTAAAATTAGAAATTAAAAAAGAATATCTTTTATGTAAAGAAACGTTAATTGGATTATTATCTATCAAAAAAAAAGTGAATGATATGAAATATCGAAAATTGTATTCATGCAAGTTATAAGAAATTAAAAAATCGAAAACTGGGAAAAGATGTGATCTTTTATTAAAATTTGATAACACACAAGAAATTGATATTGATAACTGGAATTGAATGATGATTAATAATTGAATATATAAATTTAATTAAAAAAAAAATTTTTAATAAATTTTAAAATTCAATTATATCGGTGCTGGTAATTTATTGGTAATTCCAGTAAACCATCCACTAGAAGAGAATCCCATAACAATAAAACTACAACTCAAAATAAATAATATTATAAATGTTTCAGCAAAAATATTAATTAAATAAACAATGGAGCATATTGTTATATTTATATAATAAATGGAAACAATATTGGAGGACAAAATAAATCAACAGAATAAAGAATAAAATTGAAAGATGCTTCTTGAGAAAATATAAAGACCAATTCTCTCGATTTCTATACAACCAGATATAAATTTTAGTTTAGAATTTATGAATTTGGAAGAAATTCTCGACAGATATCCTGAAGTTTTTCAGCGCAAAACGAAGAAATCCAGACATTGACGATATTGAAGAAAAATAAAATTAATTATCGAAATATCGATACAATAATCTTGAAGAGAAGTACGAAAGATAGACACAATTAGTATATGTTTTTAGAAAGAATGGAGATCAAGTAATTAAATAATATCGCGGAGAAGAATTAAAAATCCAAAAGTCTAATCTCATTTCATTCGGAAGTAAACAAATGAAAGAACATGTGTAAAAATTAAAAGGAGAGATGACTGAAATATTGTCGATCGTCGATGGTGTGTTTGTGAAAGGAAATTTTAGGAGGTAAAAACGACGATGAAGACAAAAAAGAAAAGAGAGAGAATGCTGACTCGACCAGAGTGTGATTTTTTTATGTAATTGTTGCAATTAAAACGAAGTGTGAAGTGATGTTGTGTTTTATATAGGATAATTAGGTGTTCTGTAGAATGTGTTTAGCTGTAGTATAGTTTACAAATCAATTATCTGGTATGACGAGTGAAGTATCCAATTGTGATACTGAGTTATTTTCTATTTATAGTTCGTCTAGGTATTATCTATATAGTTATATGAAGAATTTTTGGCGCAATTTGGTGATTTGAAAATCAACTGTTGATTATTAGAAGAAACTAACGATTCATTCTTTAATTATTACTAGTATTAATGATTTGTTTATTTTGATATTTTGTGGAATATCTAGTCATTCTGTATTTCTTAAGATCGTGTACGGCGAACGTTTCAGACATGTTAATTGATTCTCGGATAGGGATATAGGAGGTTTCCTACAATATTTCTCTGGTAGGAAATTTTTGGAAGTTCTCAGAAGTTTTTTAAAGAATCGTCGAAGCTTTTAAAGTTTTGTATTCGACAATTATTCGGCATAGATATATCTAATAAAACGTGATAACGGCAATATCACTTTTGTGATCTTATGATGGTTGCCGTACGATTAGAGCTTCTGCATAACTAGCTAGGAAATAACAAGCATGATTTATGAGGTGATCAATTAGCTTATTTATTTATCTGGAAATAAAAGATTTGTAGTGCACGGAAGAGGTGATCGGCTTTTTGCTGCGTGTGCAATTATATTATTGCGGTCTGCGTGCAAGTCGGTTAGATATAATCGATTATCAAATGAGAAACTTCAAAAGTAATTGAATATTCAAATGTGGACCTCGAAACTTCCCTATTAGGTGGTCAATTAACAGCTCCAATGAATGCGTTGTAGTACAGAAACTGTACTGTGCTTTATATTGCTGCACTTATAGTCTAACTATCTTTTTATTTTAATTGCTGTCCTTTTCTATCAAATTTATAAACCCTTCTTATTTTAAATGTTGCTGCTTTTGACTGTAAAATTATGGGTTGCTAGCTATATAAACTTTTTTAATCATGACGTAAAAGGCAAGTTGTAACATTGTGCATAATAAACTTAATAATTTAAAATTCAATAAGTAATATCGGTTTCAGTAATTAAATAAATTAAACAATACAATATAGGATTAAGAACCAACTTAGAATAATATGAGTAACAATATTATTGTAAACAATATAAAAACATACAGACGTTTTGATCCCTTTTCAATGTTAAAAAATAAATTTTAATGTTACCGTAACGCAAGATGTACAATATATAAAAAGCGCATGTTGGAAATAATAACCATGAGATGTCCTCAGAGATGACATTTCAGAGTTCGATAGTTAAGACCTTGATATCTCTGTTATTAATTACTTTCAGTACTCAATTTATATTTTTTAAATTATTGTTTTGGATATTCGAATAATTAGCAGTTGCAAAAATAATATGAAGGATGCATGCATCTTTATTACATAAATTTTCACTGGACCAACCTATTGTAAATTTGAGAGGAAGCTTATGGTATTATAAACTTTATATGATTATGTGACTTCTGGAATTGACTAACAACAAGTTCTGATGGGAAGCCGATTTAATCTAGACCGTATCATATCATAATTATTATTTCCAACATGCGAGTACATATACGCTTTTTATATATTGAACATCTTGCGTAGTTGCCGGTAACATTAAAATTTATTTTTTAATATTGAGAAGGACCTGATAGGGGTCGAAACGTCTATACGTTTCTATATTGCTTACAATAATATTGTTACTCATATATTATTCTGAGTTGGTTCTTAACCCTATATTGTATTATTCAATTTATTTAATAATTAAAAATTTGTCTCAAAAATGCAAGATTAATATGAAACTAATAATATAAGAGAAAAATACAAAATTATAGTCTTTAAAATTATAAAAAAGGAACATAAAAATCAATGAGCGAATATTCGAAAGTAAAACTATTGATAAAAATTAAATAACAACAATCTTAAAAAATGATCTAATTCTTTCATCGATTAATCTGTTAACTTAATCTTACATCGTCGATGCTAATGTTAATAATCATACTGATTTTTACTATTTGTAGACAATATCCGGTTTATATATCTACAATTGTTACACATATACACACATAGTTATTATATCACTATTATTATATATTATATAGATACTATCTATTATTGTATTCATTACAGCTTCACAACAACGTTACATTTTGTCTTTTCACTTATACAAATGAAATATAATACATTAAATAGACAAAACATGTTTTGTCTATTTAACAAACATATCAAAACTAAATATATTCATGCATCTAATACGTTCAAGTTCATAATTTATTGATAATAAATTACAAATAGTTTAAATCTATTAATCTGACTAAACCTTATCTAAAATCTTAACAGAAATAGTTGTGACAGTAGAATGAAGATGATAATATAATTTTATTAACAAAAAAATTCTTTATTGCGTTACTGATATATTTTCTTCGCTAGCAGTCGATGTTTTATAGTTGAACGCAAATCTCTTTTTTTAAAAATAAAAATTTAATTATACATAATGCCGCGCTATCTGGTCGCGCAGCATACGACTCTCGAGATAGATATACACTTACAGATAT